AGGGGAAGAGTTTTTAGATGCTTTAGTGATATACGTAAGTTTTGAAATTTGCATTTCCTTAGCCACGAGACTAGTCGAGCTTATCCGTTGGCTGAGGGAGAAGCAAGCTGAGTAGGAGGCTTGGTAGTGTCAAGAAATAAACCTTGTCTTGAAAAGCATACCTAGACACAGGCAGCCCAAGCTCACTACTAGAAAAGCGGACGTGACTCTTAACGTGTTGCGCAACGTTTTATATTTATAAAGGTTTGTATGGGATGTTATCGGTTTGCCTTAAAAGAGAGAAAAAAATGTCTTGTTTTGAAATAAAATGGGCTTACCTTATTGCTTTGTTGTTTTCTTTGTTGATTCCGAGCGTCTCAGGCCATTTTGAAGCGTTTTCGGCGAGTTAGCGCTATGTTGGTGTTCAACTGCTAAAAGAAAGACAAGGCCGGAAACCTATTTTAGAAGTGTCCGTCGCCCGAAGCGAATAATTCCGCCAAAAAATTACCACCAGTCTCGATTCCTCCAGAAAATCAAAGCAGAGATGTTGCAGTTTCATTTCCATTCACTCGATTCCCAATTCCTCCCACAGATCTTTCACTAGCGATGCTTTTATCTCCAGATCGATCGGCTTTCCAATTTCGAATTTGGCTGCTTGAAACATTTGCGGGCCCATTGGCCGATCGCACAGTATGTTGGGTAACAAAAATAAGCCCGGCGAGAGTAGCCAGCGACCTGCAGTCGACAAACAAACCAGTTAGCTCCCCTGGTCCCCTCGAGAGGTTTTGTCAAGACCGCATTGTTTTGATCACACATTTCCACTCGATGTTGATTCGTCCGGCCTTGCCCACCGTAGAGTCTCTGTGGCTCAGTGGTAGAGCATCAGAGCGTGGAATCCGTAGTTCTGAGGTTCGATTCCTCATCAGGACTCAGAATTTTGTCTTTGTCTTACGATGTACAGTTTACATGCAGGAGTCATGGGATTCACGCAGTTAAATGGTTTAGGGACACTTAAATGACTTACTAGTTGTAACTAGTAGCTATAACAGAAATCAAAAGAAAAAGACAATGGGTACAATGCTTTGCATTAACAACTGTCAGACTGAGGTGAACAGGATCATTGCCAAAATAGTCGCGTGTGAATTTCTTTTGTGCGAGTGTGTGGACGTTTTTGTTTCTTTCTTTTTTTTTAATGATAGATCATTCATTTTCATTGTATTTACGAGTCTACAAATTTTCTAGTGTCTTTTTCCACTGCTCTCCCGGATGGTGCTGAATCATATGAATTTACGGGCGATTTTGAAAATCTCCTTCCTGTAACCTTGGAATATTTAAATCCCTTCACCTCTGCAGGCTGTAGTCCAAGTAAGTTGCATTTTACATCTGTCTTAGTTATGGTTTGCTTTCCCTCTTTATTGCAAGCTTTAAGACTGATCTTCGTGCCATGTTAAAAAAAATGGAGGATATATCTTTAAAATATCACTTAAAAATGCTATTTAGCTGTTAAAACAAGATATACTGAAGAAAAATTGCAACGAAGCTAGAGATGTTCTACGAAGCGACTCAACACGGAAGAGATACCGCCCGCTGAGAGTGGGCCAGATGGGAGAATACTGCTTGCTCTCGAACCAATCAGATCACAGGATTTGCAGAATACCGTTGCTCAGACACTGAAAAAAATAACAGTTACTATAAATTGACAGCTGTCGGATCGTGACAGATGCTAATGAAAAATGTTTCAAAGTTCGTTTGAAAGCCTTTTGAAACGCGATAAAAAGTGTTTCGGTTAAGTATCCCTCATTAATTCGAATTACCACTCTTTTCTCCACTACCTACTCGCTAAAAAGTTGCTCAGGTTTTTTAACAGCGGATCTTGCCGTTACTATAGCCCTAAATCGTTCGGTTTCTTTTGGCAAGTATTTCGAAAAGTTAAAGAAAAATCTAAGAATGCAATTCACCAGCCTAGGTCGGTCCATATTGGGAGAAACTGTTACAATTATTCATATTTTTAAGCTGATTCATTTGCTCATAGACACTTTGATGATTATCAAAAGTGATTATATTCAACCCTTTTAATTTCCAAAAGCGATTCACATGTAATTTCTCCTTTTTATATCCATTCATTATCAAGCAAACAGGTAATGAGAATAGGCAAACTTATCCCTGAGATAGATACCTTGGTTTAACACCAATTTGTCATAACTAATTTACTAGGAAATGTGTAGCAGCTAAAGGGGAGAATCGGATCTTGGGACTTAAAGGGTTAAATGGGTACAACACGATATTCAAATTTTTATTGTCACGACAGCATTCAACCCTTCATTTTCCGAAGCAGTCTGAAATCCGACTATCGGCCGATTTAGTCGGCTTACAGGTCTGCTTAACACCGATAACAAAGATTCATGTGATGCTGTTAAATTTTGTATTCATTTTGCATGTCTTATTAATTGGTACACAGTCAGTGGTATTGGTATCGACAGCTATTATTTTAAATTCCCAGTCAGAGAGCATCCTGGCAAAGTAACTGTAAAGGTATATTACACCTCTGAAAAAGGGATGATGCAGTCTGGAGATGACCTCTGTTTTGACTATAAAGACCGAATAGATGAAACCATAACAGTCGTGATGGCCAATCAGCCTGCCAGAGATGCTATTGCAGTTGGTGCGTTACAAGGACTGAGAAACAGGTCAAGAGGCCAAAGAAGACCAAATCCTTTTTCCCCACCGCAAACTGGTAAGGTTTGAATCTTAAGGTTGACCAAAGATGAGAGGTGTACTATGGAACATCTTTCTTTATAGATGGTGTTCAAGGAATAATTGTAACTAGTTTTTAAAAGTTAAAAAGAGGCGAAAGTCAAGGATCCTCCAGATTACGACAAAGGCATACATTTTAGTTATATCGATTACGTAGATTATCCTTTTAGTAAAGATAGGATCTAAGCCAGGAAGGTACCAGTACACAGTGTGAGTTATGTAAATAACATCATAGAGATACGAGTTCCATCAATATGGTTAAGGAAGCAGTGAGCATACCATAGAGTTATTCCAACTGAAAGAAAAGCATCTTGCTTTGTTGAATTTGCGTAAATTTCACGACATGAACCTTGTTGGAATATTGTTTGATGAAATTGAAAGAGATTCTGGTGTTGGTTTTTCAAGGCCGTCAAACCTTTTTCCTCGTTACATTAAGGAACTATTCATGAACACTGCAAGTCATGTGCCTGTGTTTCAATTCTCACGTTTTCTATATTAGAAGCACATCATAGCCAGTAATGGGTGATGTTACCCATGAACGAAATGTGTTATATTTCAAATGTGTTGAAGCAAAATAAAAAATGGGGGGACATCTGTAAAAGATATTTAAGACTTTACTTTCCCCACTAGTTTTTAAAACCCCTTAATACTAGTAAAATGAAATAAAATGCGCAGTGTAATTGGATTATCGTCATCCATTTGAACATTTCGTTATTTTAGCATATTTTCTTATACAGTTTACCTTGGTTTCTTCAGCAGGATATCCACCTGTAAATAAAAACGGACAGTCTTGGCCTGTTAAACTTTTAATGCTTCTTGTATACAAAGCTGCACAGATCAATAACCTTGACTTGCTGCAATTCATCTTCAGAACCTCAGCTGGGACTTCAGTTTTCAATCGCTACAAGAACAATGATGTATTACCTGAAGATGTTGCTCGAGCGAATGGAAATGCATTCTTGGGAAACTACCTAGAGAATATGAACAAAAGGTAGCATTTCATTGCGTTTGTTTGAGAGAAAATGGTTGGGGCTAAGTTTAGTCTATGTACTGAAATCTATATCAAGAGAAAATGGTTGGGGCTAAGTTTAGTCTATGTACTGAAATCTATATCAAGACAATACAATCCATACCCTGACAATACCTTTCTTTACCTACAGGTATAAAAAGTTGTCTTTAAATCATAAAAACTGACTGAGATGAACTTTGCGCTCGGTCTTACTTAAAATAGAACTGCGTATAACACACAGGAGGAATATTAATACTCCTACCGGCTCTTCGTTCTACCTTAACTGGTGATGAAGAGAATCGTATCACTATTGTTAGTTCCAGTTTTTGCGAGGGTCTGGTTCTCAAGTTAAGATTCCGAGATTGCTAAGCAACACTTTGAATGAATAAGTTTCATTCGTGTAGGTTATCAACGGAAGTTGGTGGCGATGACAACATTGAAACTATTCACTGGTTAGAACTTAAACATGCCTTGGAGGAGAAACAAAATCTTCATGGTAAGCGCTTACTTATGTCTAGTAAAAGCTTGATTGCGTATTGTCCTCAGTAGAATTTTGTGCACGGTGACGTTACCCCATTACATTTGCTTTATTTTTGACATAAAGTAAACAAAAAGCAAAGTTATCACAACCACCAATCAGAAGAAAAGAAAATGTCTTTGGAAGCCAATGAGAACTTGACGTAAGAAAAGCAAACTGCCTAAAGCGCGGTCGTGAATGTTTGTTGTTTTGCATCTGATTGGTCGAGAGAAGATGGTGCGAGTATTTTGGACCAATCACAGAGGAAAGTGAAGCGAAACCAATGCAATCCGTGATTACCCTCGATACTGATTTCAAAATTGCTATTCTAAGAGAAGTATAGGACTGACTTTCTTAAACTTTTTTAGTTTTTACCTTAAAATTTCGACTGGATGACGAAGGCCGAAACGCTTGAATGAAACTGTTACTTTTTCTCGACCTCTACCTTAGCAAATAATTCTTAATTGAGCTTATTTGCTAGATTCATTCCAATCTGTTGGCTGTCGGGCTGTCTTGCTGCTTAAAATGTTTAAATTCTTAGCCCTAATTAGATTCTTGCAGATTTTAAAAGTTGTTTGGGGTTTATTTGACCCCACTAGGTACTGATGATGCCCAACCGGTAGGTTACCCAGATTGCGATGTGAACCAGAGTGACTACGAAGCCGATGATGAAGTAACCTCCTCGTCATCACCATCTAGCACTGACGCAGATGGCAGCGAAATAGATGATTCAGAACGTAAAGATCATGGTCAAAATAAAATGGGTAAATTTGGACGTACCGTATTTTTGCTGCGCTAGTTATACTTGTATTTCATATTATAATTAACCATCGTTCAGGCACTAAGTATCACTGCAAAATAATTGATGTCCATTTCAATTTATTTTATACCATTATTTCGATTGGAATTCGTTTTTAAAAGGCATCTCTTGTCTTGTGACTTCGTTTATAGCTTACCCTGTTGCTCCATCTCTCTAGATAACAATGATTCCTATGACTTAGTCGCGAGCGAAGCTGAAAGGCAACGATATCACACAAGAAAAACTGAGAACATGCTAACCAAACGTGCGCGTAATTTTCAAAGGAAACAAAGCTTAGACCTAATTATTAAATAAGTAACGGTAATGACGTAGAACACGTTAATTTTGCCTCAGATGTAAACAATCAATAATTAATGCTTACCGCTGTTTCCTGCTAAGCCAAAGCTTTATCGTGCTACAACTGCTGATCCAGACACTTTCAAATCCTTAGAGTGAAACCCCTTGAAATATACACGGCAGAAAATGGCATCACAGCTTGGAGTTGACAATGGCAGATGCTTTACATAGTTCTTATGTAAACTTAATTCTGACCGTGAAACTTTCCTCTGTTACAGATTGTAAATTGTCTCATGAACAGGAGGTGAGTGCGTCTGTTTTAGATGCTGTTACAAATGTTGCATCGCACCTAAATCAAGAAAGAGCTGACCCTGCAGAGAACCACGCTGATGTTGAATTAGGCTCTAGAATTGGAACTAACAGGACTGCTTCATGCCAAAACATGGAGCCCATGGACAGCATGAGCAGAGTGGGTCCCTGTCTCCAAACGACAACAAAAAACACCTTTTGGAAACAGTTTTGTGATGAAACAGATCAAAAGGAAGAACAGGACAACCTTGATCATCTGGGTAAGTAATTAGTTACTCTCACCAATCTAATAAGCTTTCATCGGCCTAACTGCCGTTTCTTTGTTGTTTTGAATAAAATGATATTCTGCTGGTCAGTTTACAACCAGGAAGGAACTGACGCCGCTGATGACCACGTTTTCACTTCTGCTGTTACAACAATCAGTGGAGTGTCCAAAAATTTCACTAAAAGGGGTTCTGAAGTTGAAAAAAGCAGCAAAGCTTCACGTCACATACAAGAGGCTATATCCAGTGTAACTAGAGTGCTGCCGTGTACAGAAAATGTGGAGAGGCTGGTTGGCCCCTTTATCCAGACGAAAACAGAAAACACCCTTTATGAAGGTACTTGTGATAAAAGAGGTCAAGAGGAGGAACTGGACAATCACGAAGAGCTTACAGGTAATAAACAGTTTGCGTTATTGGCACAGTCATTGAGGATATATTCACTCCACCTTTTACCACCAAAGTTGTCTTTTTTTTTTTAAATGGAATTATGTACGAGAGTTTTACCAAGCCTACCCCTCACAGTTTGGTGACGTTGAGCAGCACTACCAAATTTGGGCTAGGGCTACCAAATAAGGTGGTGAGCACGTGGGTGTGGAAAAAATAACAAGAAGGTTGTGAGAGCGCGAGTTTATGGAAAGTTTTTCCGTCGAATTTAGTGAGAGTTTCGTGAATTAGATTGAAGCCGAATAAACTAGGAAATTGTGTTATTGTGAGTTCTATGGGCTGTTTTATTGTTCGACTCAATTATACTTCGCTGGACAGGTTGGGTAGTGTGCACCAGTCAAATATTGAAAAAGTTCCGCTCAACGATGATTACTCGAGATTGCTCGTCCATCAGACTCATCGTTAAAAAAAAATCTATCATGACGTTTTTAAAGTCTGTCATGGAACACTGGCTGTTCTTTAAGAGTGAAAAGTGTGTTTGTGTTGAGTAAATGTTGAGCGTAGTATTTTTTGTTTTAGTGTTTAGGGCTTGCTAATAGGATCTAACTTTGACAGACGTTGGCTATGGAAGCAAAGTAGATCCTATCAAGAGCTTTAAGAATCTAAAGAGAAATTGAGTGTATTCATGAAATATTCGAAGATAATTCGGTTAAAAATCTGAAAAAGTGCTGACTCTGCATCTTTTTTAAAATGCTAAGCAAACACAATCGTAGTGTAAGACTTATTATCATAATGATTGCATTAAGGCCATTCATAACCCAAATCACTCTTACTTGCAGAACGAAATATATTGGCTAAACAGTTTTTACGCTGAATTGAAAAAGTAATCTTTTGTTATACAGATCTTTTCTTTTGTTCGATGTTATCTCAAATAGGCCTTTCAACTAGGTCCAGGGTGACAAATTTCTTGCCCAGCCTGCCCAGTCTGCCATGAGTCTCCTGTGGCTTAGTGGTAGAGCATCCTGAGTACTACTCGGAAGGTCGTAAGTTCAATTCCTATCGGGAGCACTCGGAGTTCATTTTCTCGGAATGTGCCTTTGTTATTTACGATATATGTGGTCCCTAAAGGAAAGAATTGTAATTATAAATGATGACTACATGATTGAATGCCCTTAATAGGAAACTTTTAGCATAGTTTCATTCATATGATGATTGATTACGACTTTCAGTGATCTTCCTTCATTACATACATACATACGTTAGTCGACCACTCCCCATGGGGCTTTTCAGAGCAAACCAGCAACCCCCCCCATCCCACCCCAGGGGAGGACATCCACAACACTGTAATCTCGTGCGTGGGAAATTAACGTCTCCTACTCCTAACCCTGCAGGAGACGGGGCCTACGGTTTTTTCGTACTTATCCAAGAAGACTAGAATATCTATCCATTTCTTGATTACAGGACCGTACTGTTTTATTTGTCTCATCCAGTTCGTCTTCTTACACTCTGTCTTCTCCAGGGGTTGCTGATGACTCTCAGACACTAGCTGTGGACTTTCTCTCCAAACCAAAATATTCAGGCTGTTGGCACATGACTTCTGGTGTGAGTATACCACCACTTCTACGTATGGACAATAGGAGGGATATTCAAACTTCAGAAGAGTCACCTGTCAACACTTCAACTGCATTTCCAGCTTGTAATTCATCTCAAGCAACACGTGCTCAACTTGCTAAATTAAAAAACCCTAAGCCCTTCGATGCGTCAGCTACTTTACCCGCAGATGAGGTGAGAAATTACACCTGTACTTACCTCGTGTTTTGAACTGAATTATCCTGTGTCTTGCTTAGCAAAGAACGTTCATGGGGAGTTTTAAGACTGTCTAATTATGGAAAAGCCAAGTCTAACAGAATCACGGTGGAATCCTAACGAAGCTACCGTATTGGTTAGAATCATTATTTAATGTCATTTTTAATTTTAATTGATAATTTTTTAGTATTTCGTTTTATATTATGTTTCAAGTCACCATTTAGTGATCAAAAATCATAAGATGTTCGCCAAAAATAACATTTTTGGTTACCAGAAAGTAAAGGCTCTTTGTGCAGTGTTACATGACATTGAAAATTGCCAACGAACCAACTGCTTTTTGAGTAAGCAGGGTGGCTCTTAATCATAATAATAATAATAAAGTCAATTCCATCATAAGACAAAACTACATATCTTATGTTACAATTGTTTTGAACATTCACACAATCTTTCAATGCTTGATTACGGAGCAAGTAAAGAGAGAGAGGCAGATTATAGAAGAAACATGTAAACTTGTGTAATATTTTTTGAAGAAGCATCTCTCAATTTGAACTCAGACCTTAAAAACTAATTTATTGAAAAGTTAAAATTTGCTACCTTACCGCCGAACACTGCATATTATGTTGTTAAAATGTTTCCCAAACACCGTAGCGACCAAAAGGTCGCAGCTCAGAGCACTGACTAATAATGATGTTGATGATGAAGAAAAAAGACAAGAGCTGCACTCTGGTTAAGGTGACTATTCCTTGTGAAATCGCTACTTCTACCAAAGCATCAGAAAACTGTTCACAGCACGTAGATATTAGAAACAGTAGTTGCTCGAATGAGAAAATTGAGAACAGCGATAATTCTAGTATAAACTAGTGTTCTAGAATACACCTAGAAGAAAATCAGCGAAATTCCAGGAAATTTAAAATAGGATGAAATTCAGAGGAAAAAATTATTCGTATCAGACCAGCCCACATTCACAGAAAGTTACCACCCATTAATTAATATTAAACTCATCACCAATAGATGAGCTTGGGCATTGGTGCCTACAAAGTTGGTGGAGCCGAGCCCTGCCAGCAAGTGGAGGAGGTATCCATGGCAACCCTGCGAGTGGCTCCACCAGGCACCGTCACACTGATCAAGTCAGTGGAATACTTACCCACCAATACTTACCTCACCCCCCTCACGAGGGAGGGATGGGATGGGAAAATAACCAGAGCACAAAATGGCACGCCAAAAGCAAGCTATTGCCGAAAAACACTTGCGAAGAACAGCAAGCAAGCAACTGCGTATACAAGCCACGTGTGCCCCTGCTAAGTGCATCGGGCCACCCCTAATATAGCTAGGGAAGCTGCTGGCCAGCATTGCTTTGAGGTTAACTTTGCCTAAATTACATTTAGCCACATTAAATGACCAGCCCTTCCTTAGAGCCTTAGGAACATGATTTATGTAAAAGGGAAATATGACTCAGGAATTGTAAGAAATATACAACTTTTTTTAGAGACATGTTTCGGCATGCTTATGCCATTTTCAATCAACGAGTAACTGAAGTGTTATAATGCTGTAATTGTTTGTTAGGTTCAGGTTTGATCTTGTTTATATAAAAAGCTTCTTTGAGTTTTAAATCAATTGAGTTGTTAGTAGAATCCAGAATACTAAAGCAAGAAAGGGAGTATTTGTTCTTATTCGAAGGAGATGTGTTGAAATGCTTAAAAATATGCGAGTTTTTATCACTTTCCGTGTGCTCCTTTATCCCAGTAGAGAAGTGGCGACTAGTTTCGCCAATATAACGGGAATTACATCCCGCACAAGAAAATTGATAAACTACCATGGATTTTTGAGCATCAGGAGTACGATCTTTAACACTGGACATGTTTTTAGTTTTGAAAGAAGTGAAAACTAGTTTGATATTTAGGTCCGATTTACAAAAGCGTTGAGTGAGTTGTCGGAGTTCAAGGTTCGCTATTTTAGAATAATAGCCGACAAAAGGGAGTTTAAAGTAACGTGTATTATCGTCATGCCGTTAACTAGCTGGATGACCCAAAACAGGCAGGAGATTATCACAAGCGTGCCTTAGATATTCGGTTGAAAGAGCTAGGACCTGAGCATTTTGATGTCGCAGCGTCATATGATAACCTGGGTCTTGTACACCGTCGGCTGGGTGACCTGAAGCAGGCAAAAGATTATCGCAAGCGTGCCTTTGATATTCGGTCGAAAGAGCTAGGGCCTCAGCATGATGATGTCGCAACGTCATATAAGCTGTGTCTTGTACAGCGTCAGCTGGGTGACCTAAAGCAGGCAGAAGATTATCACAAGCGTGCCCAAGATATTCGGTTGAAAGAGCTAGGACCTGAGCATGTTCATGTCGCAACGTCATATGATAACCTGGGTCTTGTACAGCGTCAGCTGGGTGACCTAAAGCAGGCAGAAGATTATCACAAGCGTGCCCAAGATATTCGGTTGAAAGAGCTAGGACCTGAGCATGTTGATGTCGCAACGTCATATGATAACCTGGGTCTTGTACAGGTTTTAGAAGACTGGTTATTGTGTTTGTGCCTGCGCAGGTCTTGTAGGACTGGCCACTGTGTTTGTGATTTCAGTTAGGTCTGATAAAACACCGTGATGGGTTTGTGTTTCCTGTACAGGTCTTGCAAAATTGGCCATCGCGTTTGGGACTCCAGTTAGGTCTTGCAAAACATTGTGATAGGCTTGTGACTCTTGCACAGGTCTTGGAAGACTGGGGATTATGTTTGTGACTTCAGTTAGGACTTGCGTAACATCGTGATAATTTTGTGACTCATGCACAGGTCGCGGAAGACTGGGCATGGTAGTTGTAACTTCAGGTAGACCCGAAAAAACCTCGTGATGGGTTCGTAACTCCCGCACAGGTCTCACGAAACTGATGATCGTGTTTGTTACGCCAGTTAGGCCTTGTAAAAATATCATGAGGGATTTGAGACTCCTGCACAGGTCTCGGAAGACTGGCCATTGTGTTTGTGATTTCAGTTAGATCTGACAAAACATCGCGATGCGTCTGCGACTCTTGTACTGGTCTTGCATAACTGGCGATCGTGTTTGAGACTCTAGTAAGATCTGAATAAACATCGTGATGCGCCTTTGACTCTTGTACTGGTCTTGCACAACTCGCGATTGTGTCTGTGACTTCAGTTCGATCTTCTGAAGAAAAAAGGTGGCCAATTTATCAAAAACCTCCCTGATTGTTTTATAGTAGGTATGCGATATCAAGAAAGAATAAAAATGGAATATATTTGTTTCTTATAGCGGGTTCAAAGTGAAGTTTTTAGACGAACAGCGTCTCATTTCCAAAACTAGAGAAAGGAAATCGGTGAGAACAGCTCAGCATGCCTGGCATTCTCTAACCAAAGGAAGGGTAGTACAGTTATTTTGAAACTCACTGTCTGGTTGAAACTATCCTATTCATCGATCTTAGGGATAATTCGTGAGTAGATTGACTTCCACTCCTCGTGTAATACTCGTGAAAATTTTCAAGTAAGGTTGCAGTTTAATTTCAGACTTGAAACGCACCTTACGAAGATTTTTAACCCATAACTTTTTGGTACAGACTTGAAGTGTCTTACAAGCTTGTGTCTCCCTTTTCAAATGATAGTAAAGAAGAAAATTGCGATTCTTTTTTACAAAGCAACCTCAGCATATTGATGTCGCAACGTCATATGATAACCTGTGTCTTGCACAGCGTCAGCTGGGTGACCTAAAGCAGGCAGAAGATTATCACAAGCGTGCCCTACATATTCGGTTGAATGAGCAAGGACCTGAGCATGTTGATGTCGCAACGTCATATGATAACCTGGGTCTTGTACACCGTCGGCTGGGTGACCTAAAGCAGGCAAAAGATTATCACAAGCGTGCCCTAGATATTCGGTTGAAAGAGCTAGGACCTCAGCATGTTGATGTCGCAACGTCATACGATAACCTGGGTCTTGTATACCATCAGCTGGAGGAGCTAAATCAGGCAGAAGATTGTCACAAGCGTTCCCAAGATATTCGCTTGAGAGGGCAAGGAACTAAGCATGTTGATGTTGCAATGTGCTACGATAACGTAGGTCATTTTCAGATTTAGCAGGGTGACCCCTAAACAGGCAAAAGATTGTCACGAGGGTGCCCTAGATATTCGTTTGAAAGCGCTAGGACCTCAGCATGTTAAGAGCGAATGTTTGAATTGACCGAGTTGAAATCGAGAAATGTGGCAAATGATCGAAAAATTGAAAACCTTCATATTTTGCCCAGAGATACCTTATGGTAAACCCAGAAACGTGGTAAAGTTCTTTTTTCCCAGACTTGTTTTGTTTAGTACAAAATTCACGAAAACTGAAACGAGCGTCGGTAGCTGTAAAATGGCGGAAATCAGTGCCCCTAGTATTGGCAATGAGCTTTGCTCATGAACAACGCAAAAGAAAGCAAGCTCGTATCAATTTGACAATTTTTTTTAGGAGGGATTGAGTTATGACTTAAGTCGAAAACGGGAACATTTCATTTAATTTTGACATCGCGGAACGCTTTTAAAGATCACCAATATTTCAAAATCGAAATATTGCATTTCGTACCAAATTTTCTATTCTCATTTTCCCCATGCGGTATAACTCAGAATCGGTTCAAGTTAAGCTCATGATAAGTGGAAAGAGTGTTGTTTTCGAGGATATAAAAATTAGCCTGGGGCTTTTCATTTCCTCGCGGAAAAGCCAGGCTGAACTTTTTGAAAATCACAACATTTATCACAACATCGTCATTTAAGTCACGACATAATCTAATCAGGGACCCCGTCATAAAATCTGGAATTTCAAGCACATTTTAGAAGTTAGCAGCGTGTTTGACCAGGAAGTCAGTACAGTAAGGTAGCCTTTCGTAGCTAGCCACAGTAGATTGGTTTTTGAGTTAGTTTAAAAATAAAAAACAAAACCATATGTTAGCGTATAGATTGGTGTATTGTGGTGTAGTGTAATCTGATCAGCACAATTTGGTGTATCTCTAAGCAATCTGATTGGCGCATCTTTTTT